CTTCACGATGAAACTAATGGTATACTGCATTTGAAAGTATTGAGAGGAGACCTACACAGTGGGCAAGAATGGAAGGACAAAAAAGATAAATAGAAAAGGAAAAGTACACATAGTATCTCAGAGCCCACCTGTCATAGCATTTATTTACATGAAGAAGCAGAGAATCAAACCAGACAGTGGCTCCAGAAACACTACACCTAAGTGTTGTATATTTGAATGCTGATAGGCATTATTATTTTTTAAACTCTTTTTTAAAAGATTTTATTTATTTGATAGAGAGAGAGAGAGAGCACAAGCAAGGGAGAGGGGCAGAGGGAGAGGGAGAGGCAGGGTCCCTGCTGAGCAGGGGGCCCAACAGAGGGCTTGATGATCCCAGGACCCTGAGATCATGACCTGAGCTGAAGACAGACACTTAACCGACTGAGCGACCTGGGCACCGCCTGATGGGCATTACTTTAGTAGAAAGGTCAAAAAGATGATGTAAGAGAGAGGAATGCAAGGATAGAGTTTGTGAGATGAGATCCAGAGCACACATGGATGATGCGGTTTTATCGGAAAAACATTTTCTTTGTTGTACCAAAAGAGAAGAAGAAAATGGGTGCAAAGGAAAGCAGTTTTGTAAAAGTGATGGGAATGGGAAGGCACAGGGTAATAGTATGTCAAAAGACAAGATTTAGAAAAAATAATAAGCAAATCTGTGGCAGTAGATGGCTTGTCTACCAACATGATCTCCAAAAATGAAGTTTTTAGGGCAATTTTCTTAAGTAAAGGATTTCAGTTGCTAAAATGTTCATCATCAGTTTTGGCATTAATATATAACTACTATAATACAATAGAGGAGTTATACTCAGAAATATCTGATGTTCTTCATGAATTCAAATTTTACAGGGAGAAAAAGAGGACAGTTGCATCCTAGTGGATTAAATTCAGAGATGTATATGCTGTGTTAGGAGAGTACAGTGAAGCAGCACCTAACATTCCTGTCCAAAAGAGGGTGGAACTTGAGTTGAAACTTGAAAGAAGGATAAGACTAAGCCAGGAGGGCATCATAGGAATGGGTGCAAGCAGAGGGTACGGCATGTGCAAAGGCCCAGAAACATGAAAGCATGGCAGTTTCAGAAATATTAGATGGGACGGTAATAAACAATATGGATGAATATGTGAGAGGAGAAGCATGTAAGGCCTGCTCATGAAGGTCTTTCTGTGTCACATGGGGACTTCGAATTTAGTCCTGAATGCTATGAAAATGCATCCAAGTATTGAGAGGATCAACAACTCAGATAATCTATAGATCCATCTATAAATGGAAGATGTGAAACAAGACCTTCGTGTAGTCTCTTCACATCTTCAGTGGTCCACGGCCAGATAACTAGTGCAATCCTGAGCAGACTAGAAAGCACGAAGAGCTGGAATGATCTCACAGGAGATAGGGGAGGACTCTACGAAGCACGGAGTCTGGGTGAGAATATGGCGATGCAATTAGCTGGCATGGGGAAAGGGGACAAGTTTGGGGTCGGGGGCAGGGGGACAAGATCATCTCAATTTTGAACACATTAAGATTTGGCATTACTTACAAAACTCTCTGATCCTAATAGATGACCTCAGATCTCAAACTTTCATTAGCGCTAGAAGGTAAAGGATTACTGAATCCTCCAAATTTCCATGGTAGGTGGGCCGAAGAGATACTGATCTCAAAAAAGAAAGAAAAAAAAAAGCTACTCCCAAGAACTACTTAATGATTAATTTCAGAATTTCTTCATCCAAACCCACTTAATTACACCCTTTAGTTCCCCTTTAATTATTTTAGGCTTAACACTAATACCACTTTGGTAAGAAAACTTGGTGATCTATTTGATGTCTTAATATGGCCAATCAATTCCATGGCTTATAGCTAAATTATAATCACCTTCATCTGAACCCTTCCCTCGTTGTCTTCTCTTTAAAGCCAGCTCTTAGTACTACTTGAGGAATAAAACCTCCTCTTCCCCTGATAGGTTGGAAAAACACTCAGACCCAGCATGCAGTATCACCGTGAACTTGGTGGGCACCTTTGTTTCTTAAGGATGGTGATAAAACATGTTCAAAGTCCCTTCATTTTTCCTTTGGAGAGGAAAGGGAGAAGAAAGGCACTGATAGGATGTGACTATAATGTGAATGAGTAAGTATCATGAATGGTTAGAATGGAGGTCTACAGCTATTTTGCAGAGAACTCAACTTTATAATGGACCCAAAGAGGAAAGATTAACCAACGATTATGGTACATTTTGATTTTGAAGTTGTGTGTGTGTGTGTGTGTGTGTGTGTGTGTGAAATGCGCTTGCGTAGGGGAAATGAGCTACCTCAGTAGGAGATCATACTGAGGAAGGAAACCATACACTAGCCTCTGTCTGTCAAGATGACCATACCACAACAACATACAGGATGGAGAAGGCAGGAGGACAGAGGTGAGTCAGGTGAGCTGGGCCATAATTAGTTTTCACAGAGTCAGGTCATCAAACAGGAATTCATATACAAAAAGCAATGACACTTTCCTCCTCAAATGATGACCTACATCAACTGTGGAGCCTTAGTCCTTCAAGCGTTTCTGATTTTGGAAGGCCTGTCTTTCCCCTGGTCCAGATCTCCTTTCTAGTTCTCTTGGAACCTTTAGAGACTTGGTATTTTTCCAAGCAAAAACAAAAAAAGCAAAGCAAAAAAGATTCCAGGGTAAAACATCTAAAGATATGGAGAAGGAAGAACATTCAAATTCAGGATAGTGGTTCAATTCAGTGGGGCCATATGTGTGTTTTGAGGAGGTAGGAGGGAAGGGAGGGCAAAACTTGGAAGTAACTTCCGCTGTAATGTTCTATTTCTTGAACTGGGTGTTGGTACAGTGGTGTTTGTTATGCCCGGGCATCTGAAATATTTCATAATTTTCAATAAGAGATGTATGTCTAAAAGGAAAGAGAGAACAGAACAATCATTTTGCCTATGTCCCTCATTCTACCTGTGAAAAGAAAGGAGCCCTTCCTGATTATACTAATTTTATTATAAACTGAAAAACTGTGTTTGTTTGCAAATACGACTATGCTATCATCTTTGAAGTTAATGCTCATGAGTCAAATTCATTTTTCTAGCAAATGTTCAAATCGCGCACCTATGAAGCTAGATCAACTTCAGTGATTCCATCCATGGGTGTAACTCTAGTTGCACTGAACTCCTGCGGATGTGGATGGAGGCGCCTTTCCTGTTTTGTATCTACTATGACATCATACATGTTTGAGTGACACACCATGAAGAGAAGTCGCCACCCTTCAATGCTCAGTCAGCTCGTTACCCATATGCTGCTGATAGGGTACTTGGTTATCTCAGGCTTCCACCTTCCTCCTCACTAGTCCTTCCCCATTTCTTCTCTGTCTTGGCCCCAGCATCATTGCACTTCCTATTTCCTACCCAACCGTGATCACAGGAAAAGAAAAGATTGAAAGGCATGTGTCATCTTGTTAATAGAGATATGAATGACTACAATACGGCAATGAGATGGGAAAGGATTAATCTAATCGTTAGAATTAGGCCTGCAAATTACATTTCCTACATTTGGAATTTACATTTGGAATTTCTCCAAAACAGAGGCGGACTGGCATCATACTGACGCACGGCAAGCTGGACATTGTACTGCCTGAATTGAAATCCCTGCTCTGCTACCTCCTAGCTAGTGATCTTATCCAAGTTATTTCATCACCCTGTAAAATTTGTATATTAATAGTGCCTGCCTTTTGAAGTTGAAATAAAGATTAAATGAAATGATGCATGAAAATGCTTAGCACAACATAATACCTGGTACATAGCAAGAGCTCAATAAATGTTGGCGATTATTATATGCTTTGATTTTAATTTTTCTTCCTACCCTTTTGGTATCAAGGATAACCTCTATGTAGGAAAATCGAGCTTCCAGGCAAAAGTCCTACCTGGTAAAAGTGGCCTCCATACCTGGAGGGAGGTGTTTTCCTGAAAGCAGTGGTTTCTTCCACCTACTTCCTTCTCCCTACTCTCATCAGGTCGTTTTAACAACAGATGCAAAGAGTCTGCCTATGGAAGGAGACAGGTCACTACACTGGTTGGAAGCTTATTTTGTTTTTAGGTCTTCAGATTCATTGCTACCTTCCAGGAACAGCTAAAAGAGACCAGAGACCCAAATGACAGCATGCATGTTCCCTCCCTTGAGGCTGTCCAGCCACTTTTTCATCAGCACAGGGGCCTCTTGGGGGAGAAAACAGTTTCATGACCCCCAGAACTAAATGAGGTTAAGAAGGTCATTGCCAAGCAGTGGGGGCAAGGGTGTCTCAGCTCCAGCAGGCTTACACCCCTTTTCCAGCAGTCCTGAGTGGAGGTGCTAGTAGTAAGAGCCGCTAAGAAGAGGCTTGACGGTGAAAGTGCTTCTGCACAGCTAGAAAAGCTACTGACAAAACTGGCCCTAGTGGATTTTAACTTGGAGAATTCCGGGGAAAACCTACCTCCAAGAAAAGGAAAGCAGTTCTAGATAGAAAATCCCGTTTCAAACAGACACAAAGAAAAGCATACTGCCCGTCTGTGTTTGTTCATATTAAAAATTTAAAATAATATCTTTTACCTGCTCCCTCCCTGCCAACTATCCTCTTCCAGTCTGAGCCCAAACGTGTCTCTTCTTCCAGCCTTCCTATTTCTTTTCTTTTTTTTTCTTTATTGGCTTTAACCAGGGGAAGGGGAGGGCAAGAGATGATTGGCTCCAGGAGAGCAGCCTGGCCCTGCCCATCCCCCTCCCACGCCCTCCCCATGGAAACAGCTGGAATGAGAAGTGGGGAGGGAAGGCTGGGATTGGCTGTGAGTCAGTGGCAGGGTGGGGTGGGGCAGCACAGATGAAACATTTACCTGTCCAGGTAAGTCTGGAGGAGGTCAAAAGAAGAAAACAGTGGAAGGCAGGGGAAGCAGTCTGTCTCCGTCTCTGCCCTTGGCAATAAAAGGGTATTTCTCTCCTTTCTTCAGCCCCTCATCCAGTGAAGGTGAGTTAATCACTAACCAACTATTGCTTATTCTGCAACAAGAAGGGGTGCTTCGTGGGAAGTCAGAACCACAGGGTTGTGGGGAGCCCTGTGCACCCCAGCCAAGGGGCTTTCCTCTCTGTTCCTCAACTCTGTTAGGCCAGTCTGGGAGCAGAGTAGACTGATAGCTTCTTAAGTCTGGAATGTTTTTGTGAAGACCAGGGCTGAGATGCATATTTTTTTCATCTGCCTATTTCGGTTGGATAAGCATATTTTGCAGACAACAAGAAAAATAAAATAGGTTTGTTTTGGAAATTTCCATCTCTGAGCAATTGAAACTGAGTTGTGATTTTGAAAAGGAAGAGTTAGAGTACAGGGAGTTAAAAATGGGAGATCACCCAGGGGAGAAAATTGCCTTAGTTTCTCCATTGCATTTCCAAAAGGAAATTTTCCCCTGGCTTTATCAACTCAACGGCTATCTTTATTTAAATAAAGGGTGTAGTGTGTGTGTGTGTGTGTGTGTGTGTGTGTGTGTGTGTGTTCAACAATGGTACCGTGATAATGGAGCTCTCTGTGGACAAGCGTGTAAGGTATGAGGTGTGCTAGGTTGTTGTAAGGGGATGTGAGGCTCAGAAAACTCCAACTCAGACTACCAGTTCATCTTTGGAAAACCCACGGATAATCTAGTTAAAAGGTTGAGTTTATTTGGATTCAACTCAGTTAATGTTCCAACTTTGCCTGCTATTAAACACAGAGACTGGCAAACAGAAAGCCGCTCACTGGGCTGTGCCAGGACCCCACCCACATTAACACTGCACGGTAGTACCTTGAAACTGATAGGAGTTCTCAGTGGGGCTCGGGCCAAAGTAGGGTGGCGGAGTCCACAGACAGAAGAACCAGACCACTGTGGTGGCTTGGCTTTGTCTTCCTCCAGGTGTCCCACCTGACAGAATGTGTGGCAGGTTTACCTGCACAAGGAAGCTGGATGTCAAAGTCAATTCAGAGTAGCAAGTCAGCTCTCCATTATCCACCTGGCGCAGGGAGGTGTTAACATTCTGGTCCCTAACTTGGCCTCTTTTCCTCCTGCTGCAGGAAAGAGCGAAGTGGGAAGACCCCCGTGCCAAGCTCCCAGGGCCTGGCACCTGCAAGCCCTGAGCAAATGTGGGTTTCCAGTCCTGGCGACTGGAGCTTTCAGTTTTAGCTGAGCCCACACCACAGAACCAGGCCACCAAACTCACTGACTGAGGGCTGCCGTCAGGGGTGAACTTGTCAGTGATAAGATAACCTGCAGTGTCAAACAAAGCTCTTCTGTGCAGAAGATAGGTTGACCCACCCTTTGCCTCAAACCCACCTGTGAAATAGGAGATTATAACGTTGACTAAACACACTCAGAAACTTGGCCATGTGCTCATAGAGAAGCATATACACGCAGTGCAACTTTTAGTCCTCTTGGCATTTTTCTTAGGATGTTCCCCAGCCCGAGGCATATTTCTGGGTAGTCAGCAAGAAGGAGAGACACATGGTCTGAGAGAAATAGGAAATCTCTGATTAGTGGGGAGAGAAGTTGAGCTCTTGAAAGATATGGGGGTGGGGTCACGGGAGGAGGGTGACAAGGGGGATTTGGGCCTGTTTAGAAGGTACAGAGAGGCCGAAGAGGAATGGGGCTGGAGCCCTGAGCACCCCCGCTCGCCCACCCATGCCAGGACTCCTCATGCTCTTTATTTACTTTCCTCCAAGACTTGGCTGGTTTCAGTGGAGTAGTTAATGTTTAATGTCTTTTGCACAGGTGGCCCTGACTATAGGCTGTACGTATTTCATAACCCATTTCCTCCTCCCCTCAAATCCTCCAAAGAGGTCAAGGGTTAAAAGATACCAAACTCTCACCTTGAGAGTTTTGCTTGTTTCTCAGGCTTCTTATCAGGTTGGAATACCTCAGGTTTCGATGGCTGACCTGAAATAGTCCCCAAGTTTCAAGGTTGTAAAGTTGGTGGAAGGAAATGCAGCATCCAGGTCAGGCCAAAGTGGTGAAGGAGAGTGGAAGGGTGGAACAAAGAGAGGAGACTCTTTTTTTTTTTTTTTTTAGATTTTATTTATTTGAGAAAGAGCGAGTACAAGCAGGGGGAGTGGCAGAGGGAGAGGGAGAAGCAGGCTCCCTGAGGACTCCAGGATCATGACCTGAGCTGAAGGCAGACGCTTAACCGACTGAGCCACCCAGGCGCCCCAAGAGAGGAGACTCTTAATGGTTCTGGCTCTTTGGATCAGAAAATGAGGCCTGGAGACAAGATGCAAGCGCCTTAGAGCTCATTTGGACTTGGTTTCGGGTTCAAATTCAGCTCTGCAAGGATTCCCTAGTGCCTGATGACACGATCTTCCGTGACATTTGGTGTCATTTGTTTACTCTGGAAATATCTGTCGTGGGGGCAAAAAGCTGGCCTGGAATCATAAAGCGGAATCAGATGATTTCGAGGGTTTAAGGTGTGAAGTAGAAGGAGAAGGGTGATCTTAGGGCTTTTAGTGTATAGTTAGGGGTGGCTGATGACCCTTCTTTAGGTCCACGGCCCTCTTGCTTCCCTGGAAGGGCTGCAATCCACATGCTTTTATAAGTCATCCCCTGTTTCCCTTTGGAAGGGGAAGTGGAAAGAGCCCCAGATTTCCTATCTGTCAAAGGAGAAAATATCGCATCTTGCCTTAATTATCAGGCTATTTTGAAGATCTCATTAGCATATCGAAAGCACTCTGTAAGCTATACAGTGCTATGTGGTTTTGAAGCAGTGCAATTCATACTGTTTCTCTCTCTTCCAGCTACTTTAGTTACTTCCAGCTACTTAGTTCCAAAATGGGAGTGTGGTAGGTTGCCCTGGGAGGAAGGAGAGGCTAGCTAGCTACCATACAGTCCGAAGAGTACTTAGAAGAACAAAGGTAGTAATTGTTTTTGAAAAGAAGAGGCAACATCTGGTCACCCATTCACAGAGAATATTATATTAACTACAGTGATTAATACAGTATTAATAATTACTGTATTAATTACAGTATTAACAATTAATAATTATGATTTTACAGAAATATTTTAAGAAAACTAGAGCCAAAAACTAGACCCTTGGATTTACAATGACTACTTGGAAACCATGCCTTTGCCTTATAAGTTTTGCTTGCTCCATGCCTCTTAGGTGCTCATAAATGTTAGTTTAACTGAAGCATTGCCCCAATTCCATTGAGCCATATATCCTCAGGGAAATAAAATACATAGGAAAGAGTTTATAGTAATAGGGTAAAAGCCAACAAAAAAGAGGTCTTCCAACAGCTTAACTCAATAGTTACTAGAACAGATGACAAGTTTATTTGTCCAGCATTTTTTGAGTGTCTTCTGTGTGCCTAGGCTTATGAGCAATGGATCTCTTTGACTGGAATGGCCTCAACCCTACAGAATGTTAAGAATGAGTTAGTACCTTCTGGATCTAAACAGTCATGAACGGAATGGATGGCTGAGGTGACTGATTTCCATCCATATGATTTCTCATGTTTCTGTTTCTTTGGAGTTCTGGGGATTGGGAAAGTAACCTCATGAAGAAATCTGAAGGACTACTTTACCCGATGTTGATTTATTGGTGGGCTTCTTTGGCGTCTCTGTCCCCTCTGGTCCTGTCTCTATCTCCTGAGAGGGTCTGGACACTTACGAACTCCGTGTGTCTGGCTCACTGGGATTTTTTCCTCTTCTTTCCCCATTGTTCTGCCCCTCCCTACCTGCCCCACTTGCAGGCCTCCCCCAAAGCAGGAGAGGAGCTCCATGAGGCCGCGTGGGTTATCGGCTCTACAGGGTTGGCAGGCTGACTCACCCAGCACAGCCCAAACCTGACTTGGCGCTGGAAGGAGTTATTAGCAGAGGCTGAAGGGACAACCTCTCTGGGATCCAAACCCCAGGTCCCAAGATCTATTTCTATTTCTAGAACACAGTTTTCCTAGGACATTTTATCTAGTATTGGGAGGGTAGGAAAGGTGGTTAAAAATATAGCATGGTGTCACAGGAAAAATAGGGATTCAGAACCGGACAAACTGGATTCTGATTTTACTCTCCCCAAATTCTCAATTTGACCTTGCAACTGTCTTTTAAACTAAATTCTTCCAGGATTTCATTTTAACATAAGAGTGTCACCTCTGGCCTTTTCAGACCTTGACTGAGATTTTCAGAAGGAAGATAGTACTACCTTCCTTTGCTATTACTGTTGGTACAATGAACTGGAAACTTTTTTTTCCCTAAGAGTTGGAGTCGGGGGGGAAGCTACGTAGGCCATTTCTCTTGTTCATTTGACAAAGTTTAGGGAACTTCACTGGAAATAAACGCAACATTGAGGGGTGGTGCTCAAGAGGGAAACTGGGTTTGTGTCAGCCTCTGGGCTCATGTGCGTGCCTCCCAGACTGGGGAGGTGATTGATGGTGGCTGTGGGGGTGGGCGTGGGCGTGGAGGTGAGCGTGGGGGTGATGGTGATGGTGATGGTGTTGGCTCGGCTGGCAGCTAACTGATACTGCACAATATGTTTTATGTGCAGTATATCAGTATTTGTTCCCGACAACCCTATGTGGTTGGTACTATTGAGGACCCTGTTCCTTCTCTCCCATTTAACCCAAACCCTTCTTTTCTAAACTCTTGTTGCCTTACTTCAGTTTATTTTGATCCTAGATGGATCTTGCCTTTTTCTTATTACAAGAACAGTAGCAGTTCTTACCTTATTCATTAAGTATTTACTACCAACTAAGCTGTGCTAACCGTTCTCATTTAACACCACATTCACCCGATTTAATGAGAAAAACGGAGTCGAAGAGTAACTTGCCTCAAGTCACATAACTGGAAATGGTGGAAGTGGGATTTGAATCCAGATCTGACTGCCTCCAGAACCCTTGTACTGTTTGGAGTGATGGAAATGTAGGTTAAGCCCCCTGATTCAGAGAAAGAAGGCCACTAGGAGCGATGGAATCTCCTTTCTGACTAGACTGCTCCCGCCCCCACCCCCTGCCAGGCCCTCCCCACCTGCGCTAAGTCCACCCTTCTGCACGTGCCCTAGCCCGCTTCTGTGTCCTTCCACGCAGGCTGGGAGGTTTGGGTGACGGCTGTTCACGGCCCCGTCCAGCTCTCTGTTTGCTGGGCGTCCCTGCCGCCACGCTGCTCCAGGGCTTGGGCAGAGCCTTGCCAGAGAGCCTCAGCTCGGCTCACACGTGGCTTTGATTATTCTCTTTTCAGGCCGGCTTGGGACACTCTCCACTTCCCTCCACTTCCCCTCTGGGAGCCCTTTTCACCGTACCCCCGCACCTTGCTTCGGGCGATGCCCCAGAGGGAACTGTGGCCAGCGGGGCCTGGCTCGGAACCCGTGACCCGCCTGCATCGGCAGCTGTGACAGCATCATGAGCACCACGTCCACACGCTCTGGATCTGTACGTACTCCTGGTCCTGCCGCCTGGCCGGCTCTCTGCACGCCCACCCCGCCCCACCCCTGCCCGGCCCTGCCCACCACCGGCCCCACTGCTCCTCCGCTTTCATCTTCCTCCTCAGAGAGTGAATCACACCAGTTGGTATTTCTCCTCTGATTCACCCTGGTTTTCTAGAGAATAAGGTGGGACCGCCCCAAAGAGCAAGAGGACAGATGAGACTTGCTCCCGGTTTTCATTGATTGGGGACTAAGTTGAGGTGAGAGCAAGGGCCAGTGATCTGAGCTCCTGGTGGAAAGGATGGATGGTAGATCCCTGGAGCACAGGTATTCCCGAAGTCTCCTGCAGCAAGCTACATTCCTTTTAGGAAGATCAAAGAGAAAAGAGTGATTAGGAGCCTGGGTTCTGGAGCCAAGCAGGTCTGAATTCTCTACCTATAAGCCGAATGGCCTTGGGCAAATTACTTAATTTCTGTAAGCTTCAGCCTCCCCAATTTTTGGGTGGGGATAATGTAAACACTGAATTCATAAGGTCTTCTGGGAGAGTACAAGACATGCATATAAACCACTTAGCACATGCCTCTATGTAGAAAAGAAATAGTCTATCTCTATGAGCAGCGATTCAGAATCTTCCAAAGTCATTGTGTTTAACAGTGAGTGTGGCATGTAGTAAATTGTAATTTTTCTGGAAATGAATGTAAATCTTAGTTGCCGTAGGCTGATGTGAAAGAGTGAAGCCTGCCGTATGTCCAAATGTAAGCATGCCTTTGTTCTTGCTGTTCATCACGTACATAATAACCCTTGAGAATTTATACTTTATTGCTTTATATCCTATAGAGGTACTTGGAAATTTAAGGATTATAAGGATCTCTACCAAATGTCAAAGATGTTTAATATAGTCCGTGAGTTTTGATATGTAAAAATTGAGTAGAGAAAGCAGTGCACAGACACACACACACACACACACACGCACACACACACACACACACACACACATACACGTACACATACACTCCAAAGCGCCCACAATCTGCATATCATTTCTTTTTGATCTGAGATGATGGGACCCCAGAGACATCTTTCTGTTTCTGTTAGGCTGAGGCCAATATGAGTAGTTACATACTACTGGACACAGAATGTGGCAGGGATTAAAGGTTTTCAAAGTGCATCCTCCACAAAGGAGAAATTCAAAGTTAGATTATCTTTGGCAAGGCTATTTTAGGAAGAAAAGGGCAGTAAAGAAGATTTTGTTCAGGGAACCCCTGGAATTGACTTCAGGGCTTCCAAGGGCTATATGTGGGGCTTCCTTTGACATGTAAGCCTCACTTTTGTCAACTGACAGATGGCTCTTTAGGAGCCAGGGGAACTGGTAGGGTTATTCCGAAAACCATCTCCCAGGATATATTTAGGGCTGTCTCAAAATCTTCCCTGGCCATCTGAGCGGGTCTGGAGAATATATAACTCTGAAGTATCTCAAATATCAGGAAGAGGGTTGAGATACACGCCAGGAAGGGACTCAAGCCAAATTTCTTACATTTCCATTTGCCCTTTTGGTTTTCCCTTCAACCTTCAATTTTAGAGAGTGACTATTCTCTGGATCTTGCTGGCCTTGTAGAACATAAGCAATAACCATTTAAAATGGCCATAACACTTTTTCCCAAATATCCCTATATGCTTTTTCATCATGACAATTATTTATCTAATATCTACTTGATATTTCACACGAAGTTGCTTTCTCCTCCTCCCACACCCATCCAGTTTCTCTCCCCTCCCCCCTTCAAGTTAATATTTGCTTAAGAAATGCTCACTTATTTGAATGTTAGCCAGAGCCAAGTGCCATCAAGAAAGTAAATACACAAAGGAAAAAATCCTGTATGGAATGCATTTCAAAGTCAAGTATAAATTATTTAGTAAATGTATCTGTGGCTAGTCATGCCACTGTTCCCATTGGCCTGACAGCCAGTGGTTGGCGGCAGTTTCTTGTTTGTCCTCATACTGTCCTTGACATAGCAGATTACGGGTGCAAAAGTCCTTTGAAAAGTTAAAAACAATACCATTCAAGTTTAAGGTCAAATCATGACGTTGTCCATGTCACTTAGGGCTAAATCAGAGACACACAAAGTGAAGCGCTTGACACAGGTCACACAGAGGAACTGGAATTAGAACCTGGGACTGCTTCTGATCTGTTCCCCTAAGCCTTCCAGCCAGGACTGGGCAAAAAAGGTCAGTTGCCATCTGGCTGCCCAGCGCTGGGTGCTAGCGGGCCAACAGCCCAGCAGTGTCTGCCCTGTCCATGCCTGAAGTTTCAGGAGGCAATCCCTGCAGTGCACACTTGCAGAGAAGCCTCTCGGAAAGGTTTCCAGCTCTTCAGCATTCCTTCATGTTCTCAGCCCCACCAGTTTCTGTGGAGCTCCCTCTCACAGCTCCCTCTCCCTCTCTGTCCTCCACGCCTCATTCCAGAGTGATAGCAGCTACGACTTCCTGTCCGCTGAAGAGAAAGAGTGTCTGCTCTTCCTGGAGGAGACCATCGGCTCACTGGACACTGAGGCTGACAGTGGACTGTCCACTGACGAGTCTGAGCAAGACACAGCTCCGCAAGGCCCCCGAGCTCTGCCCATAACCCAGCCTGCTCCCCAGGGTAAGAGAGACTGTCTGGGGTGGCACCTCTCGCAAACCCAGGAAACCAGTACATCTTTATGGCTGCTTGGCACCTCGCTTGCCCTGCGCTCTAAGGGTCATGGGCAGAAGGAGCAACAGCATTCCTCCCACGCTCCTGGCCAGAATTAAGGTCTTGTCCTGGAGAGGAGGAGGGACTGCTGACAAGCCAGCTTCCTCTGTCTTTCTATGAAGTATCATAGAAGGCCTGGAGGGAAAAGCGTTTGACCAGCTCCCATTCTTTCACAGAGTGAGTCTGAAGAGACACGACCACAGAGGTGGGGGAGGCATTCGGGGAGCAGCGGGTGGTTGCTCTGGGGACACTCAGTGAGTCTGGAGAGCTAATCTGGATGATCCAGGAGGATCAGGTTGCAAGAGATAAGAGGGAAGCGCTCCTTTAACTTCAGTGGGTGGCAACTCGAGGCTCCTGTGAGAGAGTGTGGAAAGCCAGTAGTAGTGAGGCTCCATAGAAGGGGGACAGGGTGACACACAAGTGTGGCCATGACGGTGGGGCCATATATCCTAGAGTGAGAGGGCACTTGACTCCCGAGGACAGCCCCACTGGTATCGGGACTGCAACCATGTATTCATTCATTTAGCGAATCTTAATTGACAATGTGTTAGACCCTCTGTGGAGATAGAGCAGTAAATGGGGGCAAGGACTGCACTGCTCCCTGAGACTGAGTCCGTGGCCCAGTGGGCCCGATGCACCTGCCTAGCTTGCTGGAAGGAAGGAGCCCATGTCACTCTCTGGTGTGGGGACAGCTGGAGCATCAGGAATCATTCAGGTGCTTATAGAAAGTGAAGGTGGGGGGCACGTGGGGGGCTCAGACAGTTAAGCGTCTGCCTTCGGCTCAGGTCATGATCTCAGGTCCTGGATCAAGCCCTGCTCAGTGGGGACTCTGCTTCTCCCTCTCCTTCTGCCCCTCCCCCTGGCTCATGCTCTCCACCTCCTCTCAAATAAATAAATAAAATCTTAAAAAAAAGAGAGAGAGAGAGAGTGAGGGTGGAGGAAGGCAGAAGTCTGGTCAAATCAAGAGCACATCGGCTATTGATGCTATTCATGTTCAGTGCTTCCCCTGGACTCCGTTACCTGGGCGCCCACCCCAGGGTAGCTGGAGGGCCTGTCCTGAATCTCTCCCCAATGCCACTGTTTCTGTAGATGGTTAGGAAGAGCTCGAGGCAAGGACGTGGAGTTATGTGAGGCTGCTCTTGCCCCAACCCTCATGAAAAATTAATCCTCGGCTGTTGGGAATCTGCTTAGTGTCCGTCTGTCAGTCTAAATGATATCCAGGCTACAGTGTGGCCCCTTTAAGAGCAAATAATCAACAAAAAACAAAACCCATTGCTAGGTGGAGATCAGAGTTCAGGAATTATTTGCTTTGCCCTGGGCAGCAGGGTTCTCACCTCTGTCTACTCTTCTTTGCCTGTTCTCCGGGACCCTCACAGGATATCCAGGGGAGAAGATCATTCAGCAAGGACCAGAGCCAAGGAGAGGGACTCAGCCCAGCTCAACCCATCTGCCTGAGCCCCAAGGCCTGGGCCTCAGGTGTGGCTCCTATAGCCTCCCCAGAAATATCCACATTGGCAACAACCAGAACCTCAGGAAAAGCACCACCCAGACTAATAGCCACCGCCCAGGGGAACCAGAGGGGCTCGTCTCCAAGCCTAAGAAAGAGCAGGTCAGCCAAAGCTGTGAGCCCAACCAGGCTCCGGCCGGCCCCCAGCCGCCTGCCCGGCAGTTGGACACGGTGCCCATCCCTCCGCCAGAGGCCTTCCAGGACGGCCAGCACGAGCCACGTGAGCAAGACCACCTGCCCCCGGGGCCCGGGCAGCAGAGCCGCGCCTCACTCCGCCCCCAGGAGAGCAAGGAGACTTCCTCAGAGGCCATGTCCCAAAGGGCCAATAAGAAAGGCTCGTCGGGGGAACTAGGGCAGCCTCGGCCTCCTCCCGCCACGTCGTCTCAGAATGTGAGAGCCAAAGACGCTCCCGTCCCACCAGGGGGGGACCCCAGTGCCCGGCTTGCGCCCCTCACAGCCTCTAAGCCCAGGAAGCTGCCCCCCAACATCGTTCTAAAGAGCAGTAGAAGCAGTTTCCACAGCGAGCCCCAGAACTGGCTGTCCCGCCACTCAGAGGCCGGCCCCGGAGACTCGGGCCTGGCCTCGTCCTCGCTGCAGGAGCAGAAGAAGGCGCGCCGAGAAGCCCTGGAGAAGCTGGGGCTACCCCAGGACCAGGATGAGCCCAGCGCCCACTTAAGTAAACACGCCAGCTCCACCCGACTCCAGGCCCCCCTCCAGGCTCGGGCTCCGGTTCAGCCTGCAGTTCCAGCTCAGGGCACAGCCGCTGTGCCCACTAGAGGAAAGGCTCCAGCCCCAGCTCCGACACGGGGACCTTCTCCGGGGAAGGCCCCGGCTCCCACTCCTGCTCAGGGGTCTTCTCCAGACAAGGGTTCAATTCCTGCCCAGGAACCCGCTCCAGGGAAGGCGCCAGCTGCCAAATCCATGCCAATTCCTATCCCTATGGCCCCCGGGGTAAGTAGGCCCCTGACCCAGCCAAGGCCAGACCCAGGGCTGACTCTCCAGGAGAGCAACATCCCTGGCCTGAGACAGATGAACTTCAAGTCCAACACTCTGGAGCGCTCAGGCGTGGGGCTGAGCAGCTACCTCTCGGCTGAGAAAGACCCCAGCCCCAAAACCAGCACCTCTCTGGGCAAAGACTCCTTCTTGGACAAGATGTCTCCTAATGTCTTGCGTAACTCGCGGCCCCGCCCTGCCTCCTTGGGCACGGGGAAGGACTTTGCAGGGATCCAGGGGGGCCAGTTGGCTGACCTGGAGCGGGAGCAGAGCACCAAGCGCCTGTCCTACCAAGGACAGAGCCGTGACAAGCTGCCTCGACCCCCCTTCGTCAGTGTCAAGATCTCCCCAAAAGGCATCCCTGATGAGCACAGAAGGGAAGCTCTGAAAAAGCTGGGACTGTTGAAGGAGTAGTCACTGGCCCCCAGCATAGCCCCACACAGCCCCTGCCTCAGCCCCTGCCATACAAGAGGAGGCTCGGGGTCTTTCCCACCCAACAGCTCACAGCTTGGGCACGAGCGGGCTTCTCTCCAGGGCTTTCCTCTCTCTGAGGCGAAGGGGAGGGAGAGGTAGGTCTCCAGGCATACACATACGTTTATATTCAGAGTGGTTGTGTCAATGAGTGCCTCCCCAAATCATCCTGAAGGTGATTTCCACAAGACAGTGTGTGTGTGTGTGTGTGTGTGTGTGTGTTTACTAATAGGCTGTATATTTCACTGAAGCTATTTATATGACGCAAGGAGTCATTGCTCAGAGTTCTGCTTGTGTTGGAGATTTTCTTACCCTGAGTAGAATTCAGCCCAGCCAGAACTGAGGGGACAGGGGTGGCTAAGCCTGAAAAAAAAAGTCAGATGAGACGATGGATGTGCCAGGGGCATTAGGCAGATGCCGGGTCGTATGAAATGTGGGCCTCCCAGAATCCCCGCATGGAAGGAGACTGGCTCCTACCTTGTAGGATCCCTCTCTCAGTTCTGAACTTCCGGACGGGGCCCAGGAGGAGTAGCTTTGTCATCTCCTCCCCCACTCTACCTTCTCACTGTCCCCAGCCCTGAGGACAGGACACATCCCTGTAACTAAAACTCTGTTAACTGGGGGTGGGAGGGCTCTGGGTGGCCTGAGGAGGCAGGGTAAGTGACCACCCAGCACGCTTCCACTGGGAAAGATCCCGGCCCGGGGGCCTGGCGAATTTATCATCGCAAACGGTGCAGTGATCCCTGACGCTGCTGTCCCTAACCTCCTGCTGCCTACCTCAGCCTGCACATGACTGACCCCAGGGCTGGGCCAACCCTGAGATGGAAGTCTAAGCCCTGAGGCTTTAGAAATACGGAAGAACTATTTGAGGCCTTTGTCTCGGCTACTGCATGTAGTTTTGTCTGTTTCTATGGGAAGGCAACCCAGTACATTCTCTGCTAGTTATTCACAGAATATCTGAGCTGGGAAGAATTTTAGAAAGGAAGGAGACTCTCATGTCCCACACTGTTGGGGAAGGGAAGTGACTCATCCGTGGTCATTCTGCCATCCTGTAACAGAGCAGGGACCCTGGCTTCTCATTCCATGCTGTCTGCCGCCTCCCTCACACGGCACCCTCAGGATCAGCAGTCAGAGTCAAAGGTTCAACCCTCAGGCCCTTCAAGATCCTAAGGTGTCTTCTGAAACATCAGAGATTAAATGTTGCTCAAGACCATATTGAGTGTTGTTTTTTCTACTATGTCTTTGGAAAGTAGCACTATAATAACTCATTGTGAACCCCAATTTCCTGACCATGTTGTGCAACTTGACAAAATGCCAAGAGAGGGTAATAGGAGTGGGGGGTATCGGTTTGTGGATACACGCTTGGAAATGAGGCACAGCTAGACATGACCCCTGTTTCCCCTAAGGAAATAAATATCGTTCACGGCCGTGGCTGGTGCAGGATCCCCAGAGGTGAGGGGCAGATAAGGGGAACTGTAGTTGGAAAGGTGCTCGTGAGGTCGGCTGAGCATTTCTGGGCTGCATCCTTAGGGAACCAGCACTGTCAAAGCATAGTATTTCTGAAAATGTTGAAAAAATTAAGGTACGGACAACAAATGGCTGCACCCTGTCATGGTATGTGGGGTGTGGGTGTGACAGTTTCTGTATACACTCTCACACACACACCCAAAATCCTGTGGCCTTCCTCGCCCTGGGTCAGGACCTGGTCTGTCAGAGCTGATAGGGACTCGCACAGCTAGCCAAGCCATTCCTTAATACAGACTCCCCCAAAGAGAGAAGGCCCCCTCCTGGAGGACTGGTTTGACACATGCTGTGTTTGGTTGAACTGCTTCATGTGTGTATTTCAGGAGAACCTAGGAATGATCACTTTATTTTTTTTAATTGCCCTGATTAATAGGGAAACTTGGTGCTACCCATAAAGTAAGACTTGGGAGGAAACCAGGGCCCTCGCATCAACACAGGTGGGTGAGGAGTACCTCCTCTTAAATCCTCGCTCCCAGGTAAAGGTAATTATTTCTCCAACAAACATACTACATACAGCTTGCCTTCTCACTCTGCGTCCTCAGCTGGTGACATGCCCATTCCCCCAGCAACTCCCTTCCTACTTCCCCAGGTCTTTGCCCTCCAGAGGGCATGTTTTACTCTTAGGATGGTCTTTGGGATTCAAGAATAGGATAATAAACCCAAACCCAGCTGTTCTCATTTTGAAGAGGGGCAAGGGAACCCAACTAGGGACATTTGCCATCCTGAAGGTGAGGCTAGACCGACAGAAGGAGTTTTATCTATCCTCTTTTAGCCATATAGGATTGCTCTTCATTGGATGGAGGCGAGAGTGGGGTCACTGCTGTGTTTGTCCCTTTTTGAAAGATTTTGGATAGAAGTTGTCAAGGCCATTCACTTGATTTTAAAAAACCCGTGTGACAACTCTACTTCCACTCGGCCTTGTAACTCGGCTCTAGCCTGCTATAGTCTTGCTGCTACTGGGAACAAACTATCTGCCAGACAGAGGAGCTGGCTTCTCCTCAGCCTGACACGGTGGGATCTGTGCCCTTAAGTGTGTTGACAGCTGCTTCTCTAAGTCACCCCTCATGTGTTATCCTGGGAGTTCTGTACCCCTACTTGGTGTGGCAGGGCCAAGTGCTATCCTATACAGAAGTCGGGGGATGGGCCTGGTCACCTCTCAGGTGCCTCCCTCCATCATGGGAAGTATGGTCTGGCAGAGGCCATCCTGAAACCTGGCTTTGCACAGGCTTGCAAAAGTAAGTATTGATTCCATGGAAGAAAGGGCAGGTGGAGGAGTGAAGAGCAGGCCCTACTTGATGTTATGGGTTAAAGCTGGAGGTGAAGATTTAAGAGTCTACAATACGTATAAGCGTGCGAGATGAACCACTCCATCCCTGATTCGTGATCACATGTGTAGGAAGAGGAGGATCATACTGTCAAAACGTGAAACTCATAGGCTAGAGAAGGTGGAGACCAGTGGGATGGGCAGGAGAAATCATGTCCATCTCAGAATCTAAGGAGGAATGGGACTGTAAGCTTCCCATGCTCTTTTCCTCATGTGAATGACTACAGAGCATATAGAGCTGGGCTCAATTTGACCTCCATCACTTACCAACATGGGAACCCTAGGGCTGTCACTCTAACTTTCCAGACCTTAGATAATAATACCATCCTTTCAATATCATTGAGGTGAACAAGTGATATAAAATATATAAAGCTCAGTGCTTGACATAGTGTAGATACTCAATACATGATAGTATTGTCTTCTGCATCTTATTTCTTTCTTCTCAAAGGGACCAAATGGAGACAGGGTTGGAAGCCAAGAGCTCACCCAATTCAGCTCTGAGAGGAAATAGGAGAGATCTTGCTGCAAGTAAAAGTCCAAAGTACCAACTAGGCTTTGCCACACCCTCCAGGTGACTCAACTTCACCCACGCCAGGATTCCTGGAATTGGAGAAGAAAGGGATCAGTGTGAATATGGTGTTTGTGTCTCAGTGAAGCCAGCTTCTCTATTTCTAAACCCAGCTTTTGATTTATCATCAATGTCTTGTTGCCCATGACCATGTAGTTTACTTTTTTTTGCTTCCTTCAACTTCCTTTTGCTGTGTGGTTCAGGAAACTATATGTTGTTCTATAGTTACTCATTTTTAAAATGGAGAAAAAGAATAAGCACACATAACAAGGGGGACTGATGGCTCAAATCAGGAAGAGATAGAGACTAGAAAAGGTTTCAAGCTTCCTGGGGCATTTTCTAAATAAGGTAGGCATCTTTCAGGAATGAATCAGGCGTTAGTTGGCAGGAAGCAAGAAGGTGTGTTGGATGACTCTGCACATCCCTTGGGATATCAGGGCCCGGGGAATCGCAGGAGACATTGCCATCATCACTGCCACCATCTGCCACCACCATCATCATCATTGTCATCATTGACCCTTGGCATGTAAGTGAGGTAAGAACAGGTGACGTTCTAATTCCAGGCTGCCATTCCCTCTCGCTCATGGCCTATCTGGATCGTTGTCCTTATTTAGCACTTGCCATGTATCCAGGTTTCAAAATAATCTGAAACAGAATGGTATCCTGGCAAAGCTCTGGACCAGATGAGCTTTAGTGAGTCACTTCATCTCACTCATAAAATGGGGAACTTGGACTGGACTACCGCCTAGATCCATGCCAGCTCTGAAACCTATGTTAAAACGAGTCCAAGCAACTTAATTAGAAACACAAACACTCTGCCAAAAATAATCACAATTTAGTCTGAGGTAAAATATACCTCATAGAACCTAAGACCTGGAAGAAAAGTTTTAGATTATCTAATTCAACCTCCCACTCAAAAAGGAATTACATCTATAAGTGGATAAGGATATAGTCAGAAAGATGTATGTCTGAATGGTTGGGTAGATGGATGGATGGATGGATGGATGGATGGACGGATGGATGGATGGATGGATGGATGGATGG